AGCTTAAGTCTGTTTAATTAACAATCTGATGAAATACTTAAATCTACAATGGAGGACTGTTTTATCCCCAAAAGAAAGTTTACTTACGTTGTTAGTATCTCTTCAAAGTTTTCCTTTTATGTTAAGGCTCCAGATATTGAAATGAGTGGCACTTGTAGGTATTTTAATGGAGAATAAACTCCATAAACCAAGCTTAGATTTCAGTCTAAGCGATTTTAAGGTAAATTAATCTGGAATAGGCTTTATTTACTTATTTTTACCCAACTGCGCCAGAAGGAGGGTTATTTATACACTTAAATATTCTCATTTAGGTACTTACTTTTATTGCCTTAGTTTGTTTAAAAGTTAGTATAGTCTTAATATTTTCTCCGGATAAAATAATTATGTTTATTAAAATTTCAGCTTGATTAATTGATATCATTATTAGTACCTACGAAGTTTTCATTAACGCAACGAAAAATAAAAGAAAACATTTATGAAATAATTTTAACCCTTATTTTTTTTCCAAATCGACACAAAACCACACCTGTGTGCCTATTTCCTTATACACACAAAGACAATGAAACAGAAATATGTAAAACCATAATATCCCATTGCTTCAACCAAATGTAGGGACAAATCTGGGGAATTTGTTGTGCGAACAACCTGAAAGTCCGTCTCTATAATAAAAGTCACATCTACGTGAATAACGAGATAAGTTACAAAAAAAGTTTTTTCTCGCTTTCATGGCTCGCCTCACTTCTTCGTGATACTTTATGGTAATTTTAGTTGAATCAACATGAGCTTGAATATTTGCTTGCTACAATAAAATTTTGTATGATAGACTTATTTATAAACTCTTCTGACGCCCGTATTCACGAACATTACTATGAGGTCTCACAGTGCGCGTGGACGCACAGGGTGACACACGAACCATTACCATGAGTTTACGTTAGGTGTTCTCGCTACTAGCGAGTACATCAAAAATATAAGGTGTTATTTTTTATACTGATCATACTTTACCAACGCATCTAATAAAATCATACAAATACAACCCAAGTGTTTTAAAAAAAAAATTCAGGCTAGTTTTTGTTTTTACTTTTCCTAACAAAAAAAAGATATTATTTTTACAACCATCCTGTCTTCACTCACTGCCTCTCTCTCTTTCTTTACTCATTTCATTCATACGAGTACGAACAATGGCCGCGCGCGTTCATTCAACGTTCACACACATAAAGGTTAGATTACACTAAACCTACGTTACCAAAAATTATCACTCGTGAGTATGTACGATGTTACGTCATGTTAATAGGTACTACGCGCTGGGAGAAACAAAATCTAGCCACATAAGTAGGTAAATAAGTGTATTTTCATTAGTGTAATAGCGGGGGACTTTTCCAACGAACCGAGGCGAATCATCCGCATTAAACTAGAAATTTAAAAAAGGATCGAAATTGGAATTCAATATCTACGGTTTCGTAATGCCTACGCAATTTATTTAGAGACGTAATAAAAAATTGATAGGTACATACCTATTACTACTTCGCTTCGCTTCAGTGGAAATGCACCCTAATATTGAATATGAATAGGTGTTGTAAATAAAACTCACTGATCAATTTTCCTGGTTTTAATTCCTAAATTATGATTTGCCATCACACTTTAGATTCATTGATTTTACTTATTCACACATTTACCTATTTTGAATGTTGTTATTTAAAGTTCCTAGGTTATTATTACACTAATCACAATACATTTTGAACGTCAAGCCTTTGTTGAATGTTCACGTAAACACTGTCTTGCACTGTCTAATCTAGCCACGATCGAATTGAGGTAATGCTTCCGGGCTGCACACTTGCTTGCTGTTCACTAGACACCACGTCGGATGTTGTATTCACAATTCGCGCACTAACTTTTTTACGGAAAAAGTCCCTTTCGCGTAAACAAGCACTCATCTGTCCAAATCACACTGTAGGTATGTACCTAGGTAGACTTCCGCAATATCCATCGATAGAACTCGGTCGCGGTCGTGGCCCTCTGGCAACAACTCCTTGATAAGGCATTCCGTATTTTTACGCAAAAGCCGCCGTCTGCGGCGCTCGCATCTGGGTACCGCCAGCACTGTGCCGGTGATTGAAATTGAAATCCAGAACTTCGTCCTCGAAGCGCACGGGATCTCGTCAAGTCAGGATACGGCTGCGCTCCCTGAAGCGCTGCGCGGCTCCAAACAAGCAAGGTGTGAAGATTATCGACTCGTCAATGTTTCTTGTCGGCCAGTTAGTGTGCCCGAAACATAATTTCACCTGCGTTTTGTTATTTATCAAGCGCGGCATTGTAATAACTCGCACATACACTGCAATAAGTTTGGGCACATTAGACGGACTGGGACGATTATTTATGTTGTTGCGCTCCCGCATGCCGATCGGCGGCTCGGCTCGGGCTGTGGGCGCGGAGCGACTGGCAGCGATATCAATATGGCCGACTCACGCGGCGCGGCACGTGGCAGCGGTCGTTGCCCTCGGCCGGCTACTACGATAGTGCGTAAACGAATACTCACCGCGCTCAAAGGATGATTTATTTTTTATTTTTTTCGAAACATTCTTTGTCGTTTTACTCGAAACTAGCCTGAATTTTTTTGAAAAAACACGTGGGTCTTATTTGTATGATTTTATTAGATGTGTTGGTAAAGTATGATCAGTATAAAAAATAACACCTTATATATGAAGATTTTATTTCTTGAAAGTAGCCGCTAGGGGCGCTGCACAATATGTCAGATATGTCAGCGAGCACACCTAACGTAAACACAATTAAGCACACATATCTCTATTTAACGCTGTGCGTTCGATTTGCTGCTTCACTTAAGCAAGCATCGTTTGTGAATACGTGTGTTAATGATGTGAGTTTCAGCAAAGTTGTAAACATTATTAATTTTACATGAAACTGTTTCTATTTTAATTACAAGAACTGTTCTTTGATCATCAAAGTTTAATGTGATATAAGACTAAGTAGTCCACTAGATTAGTGTTTTGGGTAGATACTAAAATTAGGCCAAGATATAGGTACCCAAATTGGTACCTACGCTCTATAAATTTAATAGTAAGGTACGGTATTATTATTGTATTTTCATGAACGTGTTGCTTACTGGATTTTGTAATAAGATGATGGAATATTCAATATTATCTAACAAATTGGAGGTGTCTTATACGTTGTTGTTGATGACAACTTGAAACTTGTGATCGCAGGCTTTTATTTATATTATTGTGAATGTGCATTGTGTATCATATTTTGTGCACCATTTAATCTTCGTTTCGTATTTTTAAAACTTGTTTTAGTCGAAGGCTGGGTTGCTTGCACCATCTCACTTTGACTGTAACAAACGTCAAAAATCTGTCAAACTCCATACAAAAATCACTGGTTACCGTTATAGTTACGGTCTAAGCTTGTTGGTGCAACTCAGCCTTAGTTATGAAATTGGTTCTGTGATTGTTCTGAATACTGAAATTTAAGCAATCAAAAGAGTCAATTTCGCTTAAAATTTAATCAAGTTTTAGGCTTCTTTTTGTAAAATATACCATCACTTTACAGGCATTGAAGTGTGGATTTAATAAGAGCTATCAATAGTTACTTTCCAAGAATTTTGAATAAGTATGGCTTTAATATTTAAACAAAATTAAGTTCGGTCTTTGTTTTTGGCACTTCTTGGAAATTTCGGGCGTGGAAAGAGATCGCATTGGTTGTTAAAACTGCAATTTAACATATTAATTAAGTATATTATCACTGAACACATCAGCGTAATAAAACCTCTGTTATTTTATAATATCAAATTATCAGCTTTCCTTTCAGTTTGGAATCATTAACGTGTAATAATAAAAACTGACAGCGAAATTGAGACTTTTATAATTATGTGAACAGATAGACACAATTATAATTAAACATTAATCAACTCAAATTATTTCTAGCCCACCTACAGCAAAATGAGACGGTGGATTTGTTTTCAATTTGGTTCAAGATGTACCTAAGTGAGTATAATTAACCTGTCGGAGAAACATTTAGTTATAATAAATTGACTTTGTATCTTCGAAAACATTATTTAATTTGTCATTAGGGCATAATGTTGTTTAGTTTTCGTATTCTAGTATCTTTTTTCAAAAGGACTTGTTGCTTTTTTAACAGAAACGAGTTACTAACAAAGTAGGTATCTTAAAGACATTAAAAGGAATGGAAGAAGATCGCAATTGAAAGTTTAAACATTGATCTTCGTCTTGGACTTTAAAATTCTATTATTGGAGTGGCCGTTAATTATTGAGTCTCTTAACTATTTGATACCACTTCTAAAAAGGGTAAAAACATTTATGTTCTCCATTTTAAGATTTTGTTTTCCTGTCACATTGTTTACGGAGTGATTATTGAACTATAACTAGTTATGTTCAATTCTTATACGTAATAAAAAGGGTTATAAAAAGAGGGTATAAAAATATTGGAAATTGTTTTCAATCCATCCCTCGCATATCAATAATTTCAATTAAAAATATTTTGTGTACTTTCGTGCTTTTGTTGTAGGTTTATGCACAAGTACTTTTAAGAGGCTTTTGGGGATGAAAAAGAAAAATATTTTCAAGCTTGTTTAAATATTGAATGAAAAACATTTTTCTTTCGGTGAACACAAAAAACTATAGTGCAGCTTTATGCGTTTTACATACAAAAATATCTATAAATTTCGAATGGGTTTACCTCCTCTTCGGGCAGCCGGGGACCAAATAGTCCCATACATGCCAGAACCACGCATTATTACAATACATTCGACCGGCCATTGTGTCAACCGCACGGATGTCGGTATCCTATAAACACATCAGCTTGATCACAATAGCCTAACACTGAGGTAAAGCAAACATTCAATTGTCGAAAGGGTATCGCTGCTCACTGTAAACACGCCCAGTTCAGTAAACAATACACAAACGTAATACGCTCTCTTATAAGAAGGAAGCTGGGTCCCTAATCATCAGTATTCCGAGAAACGTGTTGTGAATTTGTGATTGTATGTTACGGTAATTCGACGTTAATTTGAGGCACTCGACAACATTTAACAGGCTAAGGCTGGGTCTGGGCGACATAGCGAGTGTTTTGTAAAACTCCTCGGAGCTGTAACGAAGCTTGTTAGCGGACTTTTGAAAAGAAGATTGCTGCAGCGGAGACACCTAGAGCGAGGGTCGCGCAAATGGAACTAATGAGTTCCCTGTTGTTATGTGTGCTAGTGGTGCTGTTGCCGCAAACGCTAGGTAAGTCTATTTTATCACTTGTTAAATTCATTTGTTTTCAGGAATTTTGGTTTTAAAAAGGTCTTTGAATTTAAAGTTTACAGTTCGATCAGTGCCAAGAAGAAGCAACGCAAAAGACTCAAATCACTTTCGGATTTTGTTTCTTAGATTACATAATAATGAGTACATAATGTATTTACATATTATAAGTTTATAGATAAGGTATAATATGTGAGCTAGAAGTTTCAAATCTAGATATTTTTATTTCTTACGTTCGTTAGTAGAATACTTTTTTTGTTATGCCATATAATCTTTGCCGTTTAACTTCCCCTTTAATAAACCCACCTTGTTAACTTTAGCTTTAGATATTAAGTATGGAGCTAAAACCCAGCCTTATTACTTTTGAAACGATACGCTCACTTTGGTTGAACCTAACAAGCTTTTTGTTCATAGGTATATCAAGAGTAAGATCACCGCCAAGACTGGAAATAAGATTCAACAATTCGCTGCTTATCCAGCAGAAACCACACACGCTACGGAAGCAAATACTACTAAACATCAACGGACCACCTTTGGTGAACAACGTAACCGAACTGCAGACAGTATTCACAGCTTTAGCTTGCAAAAGGTGCCATAATTGCATGGAGCGAGCGATCAGAGCATATAAAGTCCATAACCATATAATCAGCAACCGTCCAAGCGCTGAAGAGCTTCAAGAAGACGTCTTAACCAACGAGATCAGTTACAGAACCAAAAGAGACATAGCGCCTACGAGTGAGACGATTATACCTACCAGTACTGAAGCAAAGACCACTAAGAAGTTCAGAACAAAGAAAAACAAAATCAATCGAGCTGTGATGGTCACCAAATACAATATAGACGGAGACGTTTACGCTCTGAAAGTCAAAGAGCAACTGAACGCCGATCAGAACGATACAAAAACGTGCCAAGTGTACAGCGTAAAGAGGTCTTTTCCGTGCGATTCTGCGGAGGGCGAAGCTCTTTTATCCTCTGCGAGAAGGAAAGCTAATAAAAGGAAGGCGAAAAAGGAACAAGACAAAACGTCTACTACACCTACAACGCCAAAAACTCAAACGTCTGTCTTTAGGAAGCGTGAAGTAGATAACTCACAGATGCCTGAAAACTTCATGCCTTCTATTGAGGAATTGTACTAAATTCGTACCTATATTTGTATCTAAATTGAAATAAAACGAGATTAACTCACCGTTTTAAAGGATTTGCATATGATCAATTTGTCTAAGAATCTAATTTAAAGTAACAATAATGTAATACTTGTAAATAATAATTCTAATAATAAATAACTTTATGCTTTGTAAATAGGACACGGTTTCAGACTATTTAGTAAAAATACGAGTGTATTTAGAACCTTAATACTTTCATAGTATGTTAAAAATCTACTTCGTAACTTTAAAATGTATTTCATAAAAATAAATTAATTATAAAAAACATGAATGGAAGCACAAGCTAATAAAAGTATATTTCATTAAATTAAACATAGCTTTATTGTGTAAAACTCATTGTTTCGGAATCAACTGAATTAACTTCTGTTTCATTTTGTCGACCTGAGACTAAGTTACAGTTAACACACAAAAGTGTAACTACCTACTTATCCTGGACCGCGGGCTTAACAAACTCCTATCACGCAGTTTAGATGCCGAGTCTCGGGATAATAATTTACTTACTGTCTCAGATTTTGTAACACACAAAAGTGTAGTCGACCTGCAAAATATTTTACTTGTACCCCGTTTTAATTGAAAAGCAAAATCTCAACTGCGCTAAAATGAACATCGACTTCATTTTCCCGTCGAATCGTAACTACACAGAAACGCTGACTCCACAATCTAATTATTTAACTTTTATTCTTCTTGCCCGGCGAAACTCCGGATTTTCCCCATGTAATGTAATACGCGTAGTCACGTGAGTCTCCCCCTGGACCGCGGGTTTAACAAGCTCCCATCACGCAGATTAGATGTCGTGTCGCGGGATAATAATGTGCATGCATTTGTGTGAGCTGTTTATTTTCTTTCAAGTTAATCCCGCCGTGACACGCTGATAGAAAGCCGTGATGTTTTTGCGCGATGTGATAATTATGTAGGTCATTTTATAGAAAATGTGGACGTGTTATTAGTTGAAGTGTGATTGGCTTGGGAAGTATGCTTACCTATAAGAAGGTCATAAAAGTGAGTACTTACTTTGACCGTAACTATAACAATGACCAGTGCTTTTTCTATTTCTTTGGAGTTTGAAAATTTTTTGACGTTTATTAAAGTTTAAGTAAGATGGTGCAAGTCAGCCTTAATGATTCACGGAATACGTAGATTTTTAGTACACAGTCGGAGTGTCTATGGCTTAGGAAATATTCAAACAATTATTATTCGCTTCTCAGAATTAAGTCTAATAACTGGAGGTCAGCTAAATGTCATACATGTAAAAAGAGATAGTTAATTAACACGTTCGCAGTCTTGAAATTAGTTCTAGAATTATTTGACGAACAGAAACTTTGCCACAAGCAAAAGGGTATTATTAGGTACATTATGAGCATTTTCAAGACGGCAGACTTAATCAGTTTATTCAACTTGCTAAGGTTCCTTTTAATATAATATTCTGGAAATTGCTGAAACAAACGGATATTTTGTGAGCATTGAATATGTATGTTTTGTTAGCTGTACCGTGATGAATACGTACCTACTCGTAGAATGTTGATACACAGACTAAGTAGGGTGAAAGTAGGTACCTACCACTAGTTGACCATTTAAGCGAGTTTATGGTTAGATGCGTAGAAAAACATCATTATTGTGGTACTTTCAGTATCGCTAATTAGAGGTTTACTATGGAATGCAATCCCAAACTAATGATAGCAGTTTTTTAATTTCCGTTAATATTTAAATAGTGGTAGGTTTTTGTGTGTTGTCAACTAGTGGTAGTTAACCCACCACTCAACTTAACTTTGACCGTAACTTTATCGATAATAATCGGCGTTTTTGTATGGAGATTGGCAGATTTTTGACGTTTGTCAAAGTTAAAGTAAGATGGTGCAGCCTTAATGATACAGGCTAGTTATCAAGATTTTCTTTATGTCTAAAAATACATACATTTAATTAAGCCTTAAAAACATGAACCGTACATTTGAAGCATGAAAAATTACGAGCTATTATTAATTTCTGAGAATCACAGTCGGTTTCATTACTCAATAGAACTCAATAAATAAAATTAAATATGAACGTGGGGTCTATGTAATGTTTTGTCTGTGTGGTTTTTACGAACTGCAGAGGTGTGAGTTCAAATGATTTCCAAGACCAGAGACAATAGGACGGACTGTTTTGTAAATCCCAACTAATATTAAAAATGCGAAAGTAACTCTGTCTGTCTGTCTGCCTGTTAAGCTTTCCCGCTTAAACCTCGCAACCGATTTTGATGAAATTTGGCATAGAGATAGTTTGAGTCCCGGGAAAGAACATAGGATAGTTTTTATCCCGGTTTTTGAAACAGGGACGCGCGCGATAAAGTTTTTCTGTGACAGACAAAATTCCACGCGGGCGAAGCCGCGGGCGGAAAGCTAGTTATTTTATAAACAAAAAGCATTTTGTGTACTAACGTAGGTAAATCATGAACTCAGACGATAAGTGTATGAAATAGGAGAGTTACGCCCGTGTTCACAAACATTACTATGAGGTTTCACAGTGCGCGTGGACGAACAGGGTGACACACGAATCGCAGAACTCTATTCAACGCTGTGCGTTAGATTTTTTGCTTCACTTAAGCAAGCATCGTTTGTGAATACGGGCGTAAAATGTGTCTGCAAGAAACAAAGAGGTAAAAAATATGATAGATTAATAATACTATGATTAAGCTACAGTTTAATTCCGTATTCTATTAAAGCAATTCGGACTGCTTATCCAGTTCGACACTTTTCCATCGTTATGAACATACTCTGCTATTAAGCAGAGATTTTTCAACAAAAATATAGCTTAATGTGCTGTCAGTAATCCGAAAGCATTTAAGCAAGTATCCGAGCAATCGACGTTGACACTAATCCACGGTGACAGCCGAAGTAAGAACCTCAACCGTTTCTGTCTTCAAATACTTATTATTAAATCCAGTTTATCGAAGCTCCCCTTAAAGACACGTTAATCCGTCCTAAAGCGGCTAAATAAGCTCTGTAAGCTAACATGGCGAGAACTCGGAACTCGTTAGCGGGTCCTTATCGGCCGCAGTTTCGGCCAAGTTTCGGCCAAGGAGAGAATGTGGGCGGGCCAAGATAGCGCCGAACGCGCACGTGATTCTTTGTGGCGATTTCCGCGCTTAGAAATGTTTTATCGCGAAGATTTAGTTAGGTTTGCCCATTTAAAACGTTTGTTACAGGCGATTGAACGAAGTGGAATGTTTTTCTCTGTTTTAAAGAGAGTTTTCACTGGGATATCAAATCAAATTATATCATTGCGAAAAGTCTGCACTTTTTGGTGTTCAAGTAATGTTAAGCGACTAATAATATAAGCATCCATTGTATGATTGGCTACTTTGCTGGAGGCTGTGGGTTTGATCTAAGCACGATACAAAGATTTCACTCATGTTCAAAAAATATATACCTAGTCAGATTTCGGGAGCGGGGTGGAAGCTTTTTAAAAAGGATTATATTTAATTAAACTAAGTGATCACGTCCTCGCCGAGTTGGAGGCGATTTAATAATGATTTAATATTGTGGCCGATCGCAGTCGTCCAGTACGGTGTTTACAATTTAGTTCTGCTGACACATCTCTTATGTGAATAACAATTCTACGAATGCTTACACTGTAGAGCGGAAAGTGATGACTTATCTTGTTTAGTCTAGAGCAGAGGGAGCTGACGGATGCATAACTCCTCCCTCCCTAAGTGAGAAATTATCGGAAGTTTCATTTTTATGAGTATTCCGATAATTTCGTTTACATAAAATTTTTACATGTTTGCGGAAGGCAATTAACACAATTAACATAAAAAGAATCAAAACTAATACAAATGTAAAGTATGTAAAATAAGAAGTGTCTGTTTCATTTTCACTAGCACTGATTGCTGCACTGTGTTTCAGGGCGTACGACATGTATTTGATTTCATCCAAATTGATTCCATGCATATTGAGTGCGCGTGCACCGGATAGCGTTGCGTTTACAGGTAGCTCGGGTAGGTGAATCACCGGTATGTGTTCTACGATGTCTGATGAAATGTAGAGTCGATGGTGGATCTGCAGGCCAAAATTTTAAGACAACAAGGTCAAGCTTATTTCTGCGGTTTCCTTCCTTTTTTGTATTACACATACATTGCGAAATGACGTGATCAAGCGACGGGTATACTGGCAGTACCCTTATAATGTAGTCTAGCTTTGTTTCTTTAATTGGATAAAAATAAAAACGCTACATGTGTCTAAATGTCTCATATAAAACGAAGATTACATCTTCATCTATCTATGGATATTATATCTTCATCATTGTCTGATGATCAAGCAGTACAATAATTGTTCAAGGAAATTGTTTTACTTTTACCATAACTATCATTCATTGAGGTATTAGATTCTACTATTTTAATAAAAATTGTGAATTTCGATAGCTGTAATAAGCTTGTCTTTTAATTTGGCTGTCATATTGGAAACATAATCAGATATAATGGTTTCCGAAAAATTTAAAATATTGAGAAATTAGCCATTTTACTGTCATTAGTTAGTGTAATTATTACACACATTGTTCAAATCTTCCTTATAAGCATTCAAANGTATAATATCCGTCATCTTTTTTAACCATTTGACACGGCCAGTACTTTGACAATAAAAGGGCCTGCTCAGTAAGCGCCTAGTCTTGAAAAGCCTTGAAAAGGCTCAGGTACTGCATTTGGGACTAGATAAAATATAGTCTATAAAAAGATAGAGTCGTGTAAAAAGTCAAAAGATGATCTATCTTATAATTCGCATCTAATAGATTATAATTCGCATATTTTACGCTATAGTTTATGTATGCTTATTAGAATTTTAATGGTTCTAAAATACGTCTCCAAGGGCAGATCAAACGATTAATTCGCACTCATTATGATTATTATAAACAGCCCCAAAGGCGAAGGCAATTTTACGATACAAAGAAAGAATCAAAGCCCTACATTATAACCGGATTTGTTTTTCTTGCTCAATAAATTAGAACGAACTTTCTAAAGCAATGAATAAAGTAATAATCTAACGAAATAATAAGATGTATAGTCCCAAAGAAATTTCAACTCAGAAATAAAATCCACGAACCGAGGCTTTTTAATAAGCTAGTAATAAGAAGTTACGTAGGTTGTTTTATAAAATCACAACGCGTTTTTTCGTATCCTTTTTATTATGTTCCTTTGTATTGTTTCCGCCTCGCTATAATTTCCCAGTGGATGTAGGAAAAAGAAAATAAAATGCGCTTAAGTAGCCACACTAAGGTTTAATAGGCTAGCAACATTTGGACGAAACATGTTAGGTTTGGGTTTATTTATTTATTTTCAGTGATTTTTGGGGTTTCGTTGACGTGGAACTAAACTTTTCCGGGTTTTATTCCGATGGTGGTAATTGGCATTAAACTTTAATGTAAGCACTCAAAATTAAATATGCCGTAACTTATTTAGATTGACAATTATGGTGTGTGCTATTCTATAATCTCTTATTTGAGTATGGAATCTATTTAACTAACATGATCATCCGTAGGATAAAACCTGATAAAACCCATTTTGTTTTCGGACTATCAGATTCATTTTTAGCTGTCCGTTCCACTTCATTACGTTTCAGTCATAAGAACATGCATGTCAAAAGTATCTATGCCAATAATAGCAATTATGCTTGCAAATTAAAAAAAAAACAAATAAAACATAATTATTTTTACCATGTAGCATTCTACCTGTAGATATGTATAAAATTGATCAAAAAACTTGATCTAATCTACAGTGTCTAACTAATAAGCAAATTATTATAACAGTCGGAATTCTTACAAGAAGATTTCACCCTTTCTTTTTTGTCGGAGTTTTGAAGCTATTTAATATTATGATAGTAAAGTGTACTGACCTTGAGCATGGACGTAGAAAGTTATTAAAAAGAACTTTCTAGACGATCCCAACTTCTGACGAACTGATAAAAATTATTAGATATTAGTTTTAAGCTCAGATCATAGAAAGAGTATGATCTGAGGTTTTAAGGCTTGTTATTCTACAATCTGTGTACCTATTCAACTCTGGCTGGATATAATTTTAATTTTGGTCAGTTAAATTAAAAAAAATAATGATATCCTGAATTTACGTTTACTTTTTATTTAGTTGTAATATTTTTATAGCACTTTATGGTATAGATCTAGCGCTTAGTGCAGCCAGTACCTGTGTGCTTACCATGAGTTTACGTTAGGTGTGCTCGCTAGCGACTGCGTAAAAAAATGACATTAATTGTATGACATATTGTGCAGCGCCCCTAGCGGCTACTTTCAAGAAACAAAATCTCCATAGAGATTTTTGACGTTATAAATAAACCAGACATAATTCAACCGTTTTACAGAATAGTCCCTGCGCACTTGTAAGAGCGAGTGTTTCGCTAGAGTACACAGTCGACCTGATTAGCCCGGACTAATTGAATCAGTGTCTTTGTCCCGGGCACTTATTGCTGGAATGTATGCTCTGTAACGTGGGACTGCAGCTAGATCACTGTTTGTTAGTTTGAATTATATATCGTTTTACAGTAAAATAGAGAAACACGGGTCTCAACGCGATATTTTTCTTATGAGTTACATAATGTACTCATGGCTTGACGTTACGGCTCCTATGCTGCAGCCGTGGTCACAAGCAGACTGGTGGCTCGCGGCGTCTTTTTAGGCACCTGTAATAATTATTTAAAAAATAGATATTAAAACATAAAACCCACCATAGGTGAAAGGAAAAAATCACAAAATTAACTCTATCTCCTAAATTAAGCAATATGGGGGTGATTAAGATACATCTTGGTGTAAGGAATCTAAATTTTAGCTTTGAACTTCAACTCCCTGGCCACCCTGTATATGTATGTATAAGCTTTGAAAGATGCAGGCCGCTACCAACCGGTCATTAATATGGAAATCATTGAGGGACGCCTATGCTTAATAGTGGACTCCTATGGCTAAAATGATGATGATGATGAAGCTATTAAGCTTGATATATCATTACCTAATCGTGGCATAAAATATCGGCATTGAATGTAAATTATCAAATCAAATCAAATCATTTATTTGCATTATACTAGTACATCACGAAACATACTTTAATTCTACTACAGTTATGGCTACAATTTCATCGCCACTCAATCTAAATTTAATCAAACACTACATAACTACAACGCTATTAAATTACCCTAATAAAGCCTTGATTGCAGTCCAGTAACATATAAAACTCCACATATCAACACGCCGCACAATATGAGGCGAGATACAAGCCAACCCAGTTCCGAGCCAAAAGAATCGCGCATGCACTGTGCATTTCTTCGCGCTGAAATTTTACGGCGTCCGCGGGGGGCGACGCTCTTTTGTGCGGAACTGTAGCATCTTTTGGGGTTGCACAGTGGGACGAGCGAACCGAATCATTGTTATTTTGTGTTGTAAGCCACTGTAAACTTTTATCAAGGAATTTTTGCGATATTTCGCGCTTGTACGCGATACGTACTATCGGGGACTCNTTAGACTTGTAGACATTTCAATTCAACTACAAACAAAAAAAAGTCATTTTGATTTACCTACATTCATACACAGAGCACGTAATATTTTAATTACAAATACAAAGTACAAGGTAGACCGGACCGGCTGACAATATCTCAGATACCGTTGATAGAAAAATATTAGTAGAATTCGGCATCGTTTATCATCTTCGGTCCGCACACGTCGTGTTAATTTTATTGATATCAAGAGGTACCTTGTAATTTATACATTATTGCAACGATTACATTAGTTATCCTACCTGTTGATGTGCTTTCGTAAAAACTTACGTGTATTATTCTAGATGTCAAAGGTCGATTTGGTTGTGTTTGGGGCCACCGGCTTTACCGGCAAGAAAGTTGTCGAGGAGTTGGCCAGAGGGGAGAAGAAGTATGCTGGCATCAGCTGGGCAGTGGCGGGACGCGCTGAGAAGAAACTTGAGGCTGTCTTGAACGAAGTGGCCCAGAAGACGGGTAAATATCTCCAAAATATCTTATCTACCTATAAATGGGAAAGGTCACTGATTGACTGACTCACTCATCACGAAATCTCTTAAACTAGAAGTGCTAGGACTCTCAAATTTTGCATGGGGGTACCTTTTAGAACATAGGTGCTCACTAGGATCGGATTTTACGAAACTCCACCCCTAAGGGAGTAAAACGAAGTACGAAGTCGCCAGTGGCTGCTAGTATAAACTATTACTTAGATAATGTTAACAAAAGTATTTTCTTCTTTTACTCATTCATGTTGAAATATCATTTCATATATTTTTTTAAACATAAAAGGATTGTGATGATTATTCAATGAAATAATTTAGTGACAAATTTGTATAGATCTACCTTACTTTAAAAAAAAATAATAAAGAAACATATACCCCCATAATACAAAAAATGGCTGTGACGTACGGACGGACAGATGGACAGACGGACAGACAGACAGACAGACAGACATGACGAATCTATAAGAGTTCCGTTTTTTGCCATTTGGCTACGGAACCCTAAAAAGTTAAACATGCAATGAACAATGGTTTATAATGAAATTTCCATATTTATTGACAATTTAAACTAGTTCTCAATGCAAGTTTAACTATTTTATAAAAAAGGAGTATTACTTTATTATTAATTTTTAAAATTATAGATAGAATATACCTTACCAAGTTAGGTATATTCTCTAACAAATTGATGATAATACCACATCATCTGTATGTGGCATCATTAGTGACTTCTGGGTTGTAAAGTCAGATTTAGCAGTTTCATTTTAATTTGTAAATTAAATGTAAATTCGCTCTTTTACTGAAACTCAATAGCAGTGAGGGGATATCATCCGTTCCGTACTTCATCTATTATTCATGGATAAACATTATATATAGAATTGATCTTATAAAATTACTTGTCTATTATGTGCAAACTTCATGAAGCCAAAGAGAATATTAGTTTATGGCTTTCTGCAAATTTCATTTTTTATTTGTTTCAACACTTTTTTGTCATCATTAGGTAGTTATAAAAAAACAAGTAACAAGAAATAAGTAGCAAAAAATTGTAAATTTTTGTGCATGAGTTAAGTACACAATAGAAATGTTTATGTAGTACAACCGCCGACAAAAACCCAAGCGCGACAGGTCTTGACAACTCGGTGGGCCTGTCGGGCAACCCGTAACCACGATTGAGTCGGCCGGGGGTCTTCGAAGCATTTGTCATGGGACATCTCTAAAAGCCCCCAAAGGGAGTGCTTGCCCCGGGCCCATTCTTTGGAAGGCGGCTAACGGTACTTCTCTGAACAGCAGAGCTGACTGAGTAGCAGCATATAGTAGACCGTAACTCGCTACGACGGACCGGGGGTCCTCTTCTACCAGAGAAGAAAACCACTATAAAAACACAACTGGAGGAGGGGATTGGGAGTCCGCTCGAAGCCGGACTGGCTCCCTATACTCTAGATATCGAGCCATAGCCTGTGACGGAGCAGCGGATGAATGTCATGATCAGTAACTCGCGGCTCCGTTTCATTGACCTCCGATTAACAAAGCTGTCTTTTTTTGCTCTTTTACTTCTGATGGCTTACTAAACCTCAAACAAAAGAAGAGATATAAAAAACTTCCTACATACATTTGCGTAGGTATCTTTTTTTTGATTTAAACTAAAATGATTTTTTTAAACAACAACAAGTGATAAATATGTTACTCAACAGCTCACAATGCGTTGCGGTGGCTGTAAAAAGTCGAAATTGTGAAATTATTTGTGTAACAACAAAGCAAATGAGACAAACTAAGTGCATGCTGAATATTTTTTACTTTGAACTGTGCACCCAGAGCATGCAATTATGAATTCTTTACTCACTTACATTGCTTAAGGCTTGGTATTTCTTCTAAAGTAGGTATTTCGCGCTGTCAAAATCTGCGCGCGCAATTCTTCGCCGAAAACAGCGCGTCAAAGAGCTCCCGCCACAATTTCCAGCTACACAGTATAGAAATACGCAGTTGGTTAGGTTAGGTTGACTTCCTTCCCTTCAAGCGTCACACTCACAACACTTTCTAATAGAAATCATATCCAAGTTATACAAATTAAAACACCTTTCAGACTTTTTGGGAATATATTCTAGAATCGAATAAATATAAAATATAACTGCCGAAGTAAACACTGTTCAAAGTGGCCGTGGCGTCGCCCGACCTTCTGGAAGTTCTGCGCCGGCTTAAAGAATTTNTCTGTTACCCGGCCTTAACTTACACTAAGATAGCATGTGGTAATATGCTAGTGGACAAAATTTCAATTACTTTACACGTCACGGATAGTAAGAAAATATTGGACGTATTTTTTCTTCTCTTTCATTTAATTAATTAATAACAGTGCTGCATTACATTGAGTTGAAATGGCGCGTGACGTCAAACCTAGGTATGTAGATATTTGTTTTTCAATTGACATAATCTGTGTAAGGATGTTTTATGGTATCGGCGATTTGAAATGTACAATATCCCAACTAATATTATAAATGCGAAAGTAACTCTGTCTGTCTGTCTGTCTGTCTGTCTGTTACGCTTTCCCGCTTAAACCTCGCAACCGATTTTGATGAAATTTGGCATAGAGATAGTTTGAGTCCCGGGAAAGAACATAGGATAGTTTTTATCCCGGTTTTTGAAACAGGGACGCGCGCGATAAAGTTTTTCTGTGACAGACAAAATTCCACGCGGGCGAAGCCGCGGGCGGAAAGCTAGTTCTATTATTATTTAGCAAAGTCCCTGTATCTTGTCCCAAATATTTTTTAATATATTCAATGTTAATTAAAACATTTTTTTTTTCAATTAGATTGCATCAGATGAATTCAGATGGAAATTGAACCCACACTGAGTCAGCGTTGTTTCATCAATGCTGGGTAGTGCAACCCTGGATATCCGTCCAACAAAAATATAATTACAACAAAAAATACAACAAATATTTAACAATCAGTTAACATGTGCTAGGACCATGTTGACATCGAAATAACACTGTATTAATACATTTAAAATCACGATTCACGACACGTTTGCTCAATGTCTCAAGGTTAGCGGTCGGAGTAGTTACACGTGTTAACCGAAAGGTCGTGGGTTCAATTCCCATCTCAGACAATCTTAAGTTTTATATAATAAAAACACATCTTCAATGCAAAGATTTATTAATCTGATAGAGATCTAGAGAGATGCCATCTAATGCGCCGAGTTCGAAACCCAGTGTCTCATTAGAAATTCACAATCACAAAGTAGTCAAAATAAAAATAGTACGTCGCGAAGAGTGTATGTAAAAGCCTGCCGTCCATAGTAATTTACCAGGTAGCTATATACACGCGCGAGAACCTGGACTCATTTGTGAGACATAGGGATCGTCACAACTATAATACTCGCTTCGCCGAAGCACTAGTATCGACTGCAGGTAGACTACGAAAGTCTGACTCTTTGACGCACGTATTGGGGCCTAAAGTATACAACCGACTGCCTAAAATAGTGAAAGAAGCGGTATCACTCCATTTTTTTCTAACGTTTTAATTTCTGTAATTTGTTGTTCTAGTGTGCCAAATAAATGTACGTTCTATCTTTCTTTCTTTCTAATGCGCACATTGCATTGCTCACGAGCAATATGTTCTGTTTTTGGGAATATTGCTGCGACACCGGCCCCGCCCGCTTTTCACATCTCCCTTTAGTTTCTGTGATTAACCTCTTTGTTTGTTAATCTTCAGGCGCGGACTTGTCCGGCGTGCGGCGCATAGTTGCTGATGTAGGAGACAACGATTCCTTGAAGAGCATGTGCTCGCAAGCCCGCGTGGTGGTCAACGTGTGCGGTCCCTACCGGCTTTATGGCGAGCCGGTGGTTCGCGCCGCCATCGACAGCAAGGCACACTATGTGGACGTGAGCGGCGAGCCTCAGGTGATACACATATCTAAAGCCCGGTCTGTGAGCACGTAGAATTTTGTCCAATGACCCCTAGCTACCCATCCTTATCGCTCGCGCGTAATTATATTGCTGTCGCGACTGTGCGACGGGTGCCCGCAGTGAGTGTGCGAGCGCGATAGCCACATAATTACGTGCGAGCGACAAGGATGGGCAGCTTGGGGTCATTGGACGGGATTCTACGTGCTCACGGACCAGGCTTTACATCCCACAGGCGCAGGACCGGTCTTTGTGGAAATCCTTGGGGGAGGCCTTTGTCCAGCAGTGGACGTCTTTCGGCTGAAACTAACGAACAAACGAACTACATTTCGATCGAGTTAACTGTACGTACACCCGTCTGGAATACGATTCTCCCTCGCACTCGCCAGCGTTCGCCTCGTCCGTGCTTGAGCGTCGATGTGACGTCACGGCTGCCAGGTGCACTTGCAACTCGACAGACTGGGTTGTACTATCACTACTATATCCGTTGTCATCACAGGTACCTCTAGTTTTAAGTATGAGCGCTGTTTTCCACCAAAAAACAGCGAGGCGAAAACAGCGATAGGTTATTCCCATCAAAGCGGAGCGGAGCTATCGAATATAGTGATTTGTTTACACTTTCTTTATCACCACTCTTCTGTATTACTTATCATCACCTTTATATGAATGAAGAAGTTTGACCCGACCGAAAAATATTGTCAATAGCTAATACTATGTGCAATATCATTTAATAATTTCTACAAATGACGTCAAACGATGGTATTTTTTAAAAACATTGGGTTATGTATGTAGTACAGGTGTGGTGATTTTATACAATTTAAAAAAGTACCTCGGTAGACTAGTGGTATTTTTTTGACATTGACCGTCCCAAAGACTCTTATTTCGTAAGGTGGTAATAGATTTTGTATACTCAATAAATTGAATGCTAATTATTCGGCTGGAATATATGCAATTATGCATGCTTAAATATGCACATTTTTATTCGTTTTCTGGTACAGTCAAGGAACATAATATAGTCATGACCTATTCGCTGAAATGTTTTAAAGTCTCTGAATCCACTAAGGTCGAAAATTCCTATTAAAAATAGTGTGAAAATGTCATACAGTGATTTTTATTATTGTTTCAAATTAAAATCTTTTTCTTCTTATTTTTCATGCCAATTAAGGTGTTTAAATAAAATGTACGTTTGAAGCGGGTACCCGCGCAAGTTTTAGCGTAGGCCCTAATAGCAAAAATAAGTGACTGTTGTGTAACTAAATTTTTAAATAAACAACTTGAAAACATCGAACTGCCTATGGCGGGAATCGGACCCACGACCTTTCGCTTGCCGGGCGACTGCTCTTCGTATTATAGTTTAACTAAAAATAAACAAATTAATTTTCATTTGTTATCTTTGAATGTCGTTACTCCCCAGTTCATGGAGACAATGCAGATTTACGCAAATTAATTTTAATTTCTTAATAACCTTGAATGTCGTCACTTCTCAGTTCATGGAGACGATGCAAATTGAGTACGGCGCGCAGGCGCGTGACGCAAACGTTTGCGTGGTCAGCGCGTGCGGCTGGGACAGCGTGCCCAACGACATGGGCGTCGTCTTCCTGGACCAGAACTTCGGAGGTGGGTTTCCCAGAGACCATACAACTATAATTCCTAGAGACAACTCGCTACTCCACAGTTTTTCAGTCTTCTTGGACCATAACTTCGGAGGTTTGTCCCTCGGGACCACTACTTGTATGTACGGCGCGGTGGCGCGGGAAGCAGGCGTATGCGTGGTAAAATGCGTGCGGCTTGGACAGCGTGCCCAACGACATGGGCGTCGTCTTCCTGGACCAAAACTTCGGAGGTGGGTGTCCCAGAGACCATAGAACTATAACTCCTATAGTCTGGTCTGTGAGCACATAGAATTTTGTCCAATGACCCCAAGCTACCCATCCTTATCGCTCGCGCGTAATTATGTTGCTGTCGTGCTCGCACACTCACTGCGGGTGCCAGTCGCACAGTTGCGACAGCAATATAATTACGCGCGAGCGATAAGGATGGGTGACTAAGGGTCATTGGACAAAATTCTACGTGCTCACAGACCGGGCTTTAGCAACCGAGGACTCTTCACTCCCTAGCGACCGAGTACTCCACTCCCCAGTTCATAGACGATGCAGCTAGAATACGGAGCGGTTGCATGTGAGGCGGGGACAGCGTATCGAATAACATGGGCGTCATCATCCTGGACCAGAACTTTGTAGTTGGGTGTTGCCGAGACCATAATGTTTAGGGACCGGGTGCTCGTTATTCCCCAGTTCAATAGACGCATAGCTAGAGTACGGAGCGGTAGCGGGAAAGTGTGTCGAATGATATGGATGTGATCTTCCTGAACCAGAATTTTGAAGGTGGGTATTTCTAGAAACTTCTGCGGGGTATGTCTATTGACACTTCGGAGGTTTTTCCCTCGAGACCACCATTTGTATGTACTGGGACAGCGTGCCGAATGATTTGGCCGTTGTGTTCCTGGCTGGACCAGAACTTTGGAGGTGGGTGTCTCTAAAAACTTCGACGGTGAGTGTCCCTAGAAATTTTGCAGAACGGGAAACTCGAGACCAGCAGTATGTAGCAGTATGTATGACTAATATCTTTATTTGCTTCAAACATAGCATGAGGATGTTGTTTTTCACAATGTTCTCATGTTTAGCCTTTTAACAATAACCATGCAAATCATTGCACAAATAGTCCTCAATGCCAAGTCACCGTATAATGTTGTTTGTTTTTCCCCAGGCACTTTGAACTCTGTGGAGTCGTACATAAGCACCAAAATCGCGCCCGAGGTGGCGTGGCAGGCGTTCTCGCGGGGCAGCGTCAACTACGGCACCTGGGAGTCTCTGGTCTATGGGTTAGTTTCCTTTAACAGCTTGTGTGTTTTGATTTTTATAATTCAAAAAAATCTGTCAAGTAATAACTATAGGTGTTACATGTATCGCTTAATTCGACCATTGCTCGTCGCAGTTCCTCACGGGACATGGCAACTTTAAACATAATCTTCACGAATTCAAACTAGTACCGTCTCCTTTTTGCGAGTGTTCCACTGATGATGTCAGTCATGAGCAGTCTGCCCATCATATCTTGTGGGAGTGTGATCTTTGGAAACATGAACGTGATATAATGCTTAATTCAATACAACATACATCTGTTTCCGCAATTTAGTGGAGGAGAAAGAGTTGAGAGGTCCTCATGCGCTTTGTTTTTAGGACTAACCTTAGATTCTAATTGCTCATGGAAATTGCAGGTAGAACAGTTGTGTACTAAAATAAATCGTTTTGTCTATGTTTTATATAGAATCAGAAAAACGAATGATCTAAAACTTTCCCTTCTTGCCTATCATGGATACGTTGCGTCGGTGCTACGTTATGGTATAGTAGTCTGGGGAAATTCAAGTGAAATCGAATCCTTGTTCATTATCCAAAAAAAATGCATTCGTGCAATGTGCAATTTAGACTCGTTGGACTCGTGTAAGCCCTGGTTCAGAAAGCTGAACCTATTAACTCTGCCATGCCTATACATTTATGAATTGGGATTATTTGTAAAAAAACATTCCTATTTTTNCTTCAATGGTGCCACTAGAAACACCTAGTTGATCAAAACTGATGTCTTTTTGTATTTTTGGGTTATTATTAAAGACAAAAAAGATATTTCGACTATTATGTACTCTGTGGTTTGGGTGCATAATGTAATTTCCTTTGCCTTAAAAAAAGTAAATGTCAAGATGACTGTTGCACCAAAAATGAAAATGAAAATTGATTTTGATAGATGTTGTGTTGAGTTCTGTGTAGTTTTGTGCGATTTAACGATAAGAACGACAATGGTAAAAGGTAATGGGGGCAAATTTTTTCCCTCAAGGAAAAAGATGAATTAATTGGTTATAATCTTACTTGCCCACAAGGATACTGTACGAGCACGTCAGCATCGACCGCGACCTACAACATGCTAGCCGACTGGCCCATGAACCCTGAACGAACGTGCACCGTAGGCACTCTACACCGACGGCACATTGGACTGGACACATTGAATTGTGTATTATGTAAATCTTGTATATAGCAATAGCATAACAGTAATAAACCAGATATCAACCGCCCGCGTTGTGTTTCATTTCCTCCACTGAGGCCAAGAAAGCCTTAGTGCAGTCTTCCTTCCTATCAAACCTTTCTTTAAATCTAATTAAAAGGTATTGTTAGGGCTCTAGGGACTACAAACGAAGCCAGAAATATAGCTTGGTTATGAGTAACCAATACCTACTACCTATACCGCATGTAATCCTGTCTCATTCTATAATATATGGCCGCCTGAATAAACTTGAATGAAAAAGTGTTTCCATTGTCTCAATTGCATCAAAAGCTCCAAACAAATCATTTAATTCAGTTTCCATTTTGCCGATTAGGCGTGATTGACAATATGCGTGACAGTTGTGGTGACAGTGACAACCTGCACGCGCAGTGATCGCCATCGCGGTCGCGGCAGTGTGAAACAAGTACAACTTTTGCACGCGCAGTGGTCGCCATCGCCATCGCCATCGCTGCACGCGTTGGTTTGTCCGAACCTTAACGCCAGCGTATTAGACTTTATACTGCACATTCGCATTTTGCATTATAGGATATTGTCTAGACGTCAGGCCTGAAATATTGTTTTTGTAAAATGTACAATTCTCAAAAAGTCGTACTCATGTCTGCATTCCTATTTTGACAGCTTTATCGAAATGTTTTCAATTTAAAATGTGTGCAGATTTTAAAAGGTCTTTATTCATAATGTTTACATTTATTTTCTATAATTTAATAATAATAATAAGCTGAAAAACGAACATTGTACAAAAACTGTCATTCTTGGAGACAGACAATTTTAAATGGTTGTCATTTTGAGTAGCAGTCATTTTGCGAAAAATACATAAGGACATTTCAGGTCTGAGCCAAAACCTATAGGAATAGCTAAATCTTTCAAATGGATTTATATGAATTACAATTAGAATAAGTTATTGTATTTAATATGTCAAAATTTTATTTCTTACAGCTTGGCCCATTATGATGAGCTGGGGTCGCTGAGGAAGAAGCTATATCCTACTTCCATGCCTTCTTTCAAGCCGAAACTGCAGAACAAGTAAGAAACACATCATTTACAAACTTGTTTGATATCTCTTATCTAAGTAACTACCTACTATGTCAGTTGCGATGACGGTTTAGAATTCCGTGTAAAAAAATATTAGATGGATTAATGGCCGTTTTCACAATCAATCCCTAATTTGTAAGTGACCCCTATGGCACACACATAATAGGAATTCTGTTTTCATAGGGGTTACTTAAAAATTAGGGATTGATGGTGAAAACAAAGTGACCAAATTAAAATTAAGATAAATGAAAAAAAAAAACAGAACAAAATTAATAATTAAAAGTCTGAACATAATATTAATTACTTCTTGGTGTTGAGCTACACCGCGTTTATAAGGTACCTACCTTAATTGTAATTGACTCGCTCTATATTACATGGTTTCATATATCAATATGTGGATTACGTAGTGGGATGTGTTACCACATAAATAATACATAAGTCTAGTAGATAAGTTAATTTCTGTAACACATTTGTTTGTAATTCCTAAAATAAATAAATAAAACGGGCATAAGTCTACTGGAGGCCCCTTAAATATGCAAGAATTCGACCCTCGACTCTATTCTCTTTTGACTGTTTAGTTCATAATTTTGGGCATGTTGTCAAGTCTATATTGCTATAATCAGCAACTAATTTAAATTATATGCTCCTGCAGTGGAGACTAAATGACTTGATGATGCAGTTTTCTGTCCAGTTGACACTTATTGAGCGAATAAAAAGGAAGGAGGTTCTCTAAACGACTGTAAATCTGGGTCACTACTCTCATTGATCTCATATATTTTATGTGTTTAATCCATAGAGATATAGAGAGATGCCAACTAATGCGCTGAGTTCGAAACTCAGTGTCGTATTAGAAATTCACACACACAAAGTAATCAAAATATGTGCTCATTAATGCACTGCGGTATCAGTACTCAACGAATAATCTTTAGTACTACGAAGGCAATGTAAACTGTTTACATTACGAAGTCACTGCTGTCACCATTGCTTTCACGAGTAACGTGTTCTGTTTTTGGGCATATTGCTGCGACACAGGCCCCGCCCCCTTGTCACATCTCCCTTTAGTTTCTGTGATATCGTCGGCCGTTTGGTGTAGTGGTTCGAAACGGACTACTATTCCGGAGATAGCGGGTTCGATTCCCGCCCAGTACAAACATTTCTGTGTATGAACATATTTGTTTGTATTGGACTGGGTGTTTTCTATGTATAATAAGTATGTATTTACAAAAAAAGGTATTTAAGTATGTTTATATCCGTTGTCTAGTACCCATAGTACAAGCTTTGCTTAGTTTGGGACTAGAAGCGCAGTGTAAAATGTCTAAGGATATATATTTATTATTATTATTATTTATATGTGGCTTAATCTGAGTAAATAAATTACTTACCCCTGATTCTATTTCCAGGGTCCTCCCTCACAAGGAAGGCGGCCACTGGTGCATCCCATTCCTGGGAGCCGACAACTCCATAGTGTATCGCACTCAGCGCACCCTCTACGAAACGGAAAACAAACGCCCGGCGCAATTCCGCGCGTATCTCAAATTCCCCAACTTACTCTACGTGGCCATGCTGTATGTCTTCGGAACTATAATCATGCTGCTATCCAAATGGCAGTTCACGAGGCAGTGGCTGTTGGACTATCCCAGGTGTGATGATCCGGCTCGAAGGACCAGGAAAATGTGGTGGACTGCAGTGGACTGTATGCGTTTGTGTGTGTTTGAGAGCGTTGACCGGACGATGATGACTGCCGTTGAGAGCTTGCCCTTACTATGTCAGGCGTAGTAGGTGCTACTTGCAGGAATAAAACCACTATTTCACTTGCTGAGACTTCTCGCGTTTATTATTCGCTTCCTTTTCTCAGTTCTTGCTTCTTCAGATCACTTGTTGCTTGGAGCACTTGTTCTCTGAACTGAACACAACATCAACAAATAAACTCAAACTTGTCTCCCGGAGCGCCTCGCTCCGTATTTATCGGGCCCCGGGCTATATCCATCCCTTTCTCTCCCCATATTCCTGTCTCTGTCTCTCATGTTCTGGAATGTTCGAAGCGAGAGGTCCGATATTGCCGTCCTGTTTCTTTTTCTCTCGAATATTCCAGAAGTGTGTGGAAGAGTAATTGATGTGCAAGCGAGATGACAGATAATGTGAGAAAGAGATGGAATGTTATTTATCTCTAATCGACTCTAATTGATTATTTTAGTACATTTTCTGATTGTTAACGTTGCTAATCAATTCTAATTAATAAATTAGCGTATTTTCTCGGTTGACGTCGCTAACACCAGGATATTCTCGTGCGGGATGGTGACGCGACAGGGCCCGCCGCAGGAGGTCATGGATAACACCAGGTTCCAGTTCAAACTGGTTGGGAAGGGCTGGGCGGCGGGAGAAGATGTGGACACCACTGAGCCGACTAAGACTGTGGTTGCTACGGTGAGTTTGTTTTTATTGCATCGTTAACTTTAACCAGAGTAAATACAAATGAGTAGGTCATCTTCATAGAAACGCACCGAGCGCGGTTTGTGTGTGAGCGCGCCAATACGCAACACCCCGCTAATCCCCGCTAAATTTTGTCAGTGTGTGCGTGCGTGCCGCATACGTATTGGCGCGTTCACATACAAACCGCGCTCGGTGCGTTTCTATGAAGATGGCCTACTCATTTGTATTTACTCTGCTTTAATTAATACATTGACGCCCGTATTCACAAACGATACTTGCATAAGTGCAGAAAATCGAACGCACAGCGTTGAATAGAGCTCCGTGATTGGTTCGTGTGTCACCCTGTGAGTCCACGCGCACTGTGAGACCTCCTAGTAATGTTTGTGAATACGGGCGTGAAACGATTTTATCACGTAGGTACGTATACCGCACTGTATGCATATCACAGTGACGCTTATTTTCCGTAGCAGCATTTCTTCCATTAAGTTGTAGTTTCGTTTTTTTTAAATAAACAAGTTATCGAGATTAAACGTAAAATCGGAAGCAGTGGAAACTTATCTCTATTTAGAACATGACTTTTTGTTTCCGTGTACCGTGTACGATGAACTCAAAATATGATTTAAATGGAAAGGGTTCTTATAATTTATTTATACAAAAATACTAACCTAACCTAACTCGCGTTGATAATGTTGATATTATGTATGAATTATTGTCGACACCTAAGTCGTTTGCCTCCTGCCCCATAAAAATGCTGACAATAGTGATTGACTTATTCCTTACGTTGCAATTGTCATTAGTGATCTCATATAAAAAGCCCACCTTCCTAATATCAGGTGACCTTCAGTTATTTTTATTTACCAAATTTAAAATTCCGCAATCAGTGTTGACTGAGTGCTGATGCTACAGCACGTGGTATTGATTGATCATCAGGTTTGTCAAATGACCGATGATGATGGATTGTAATGAATCGGACTGTCGAAATCAACCACGTACCAATGTCAATGCTAAATCATCCAGATAAACTTTATTTCCTTATGGAAAACTCGTTTCACAAAATCACATAACTTTGAAGTTTCACCAAATCACATGATTACTTACCTAAATGTTCAATCTATAAACAAATCATATCATTTTAGCAATTTGTGGTCGCAGGAAAATCAAAGTAATTGAAATAGTTCGCATATTGTTAAACTTATGTGGCAGTAAGTGGGCGGGGCATATAGCTCGTAGTACTGATGGATGTTGGGGTAAAAAAGTTCTCGAATGTGAGCACGGGCCAGAAGACGGGCCGATGATCCATCTGAGGTCGCAGGAAGCATCTGTATGCGGGCGGACCGCGTAGGATCGGTCTTTGTAGAAAGGGAAACCTTTGTCCGGCACTGGACGTCATTTGGGTGAACAAACGAACTAATGGTTGTAGCTATGTTGTTAATTAAATTATCATCACTTCACTGCTTTGTGTAAGCCTAGGCGCAGACCACCAACCCAAGTAACACGCAATCTGTATATTCACTGAAGTTAAGATTGATTTACGTTTTAAAGNCTTGGGAACTTTTAGTTGGCCGATAGTTGGGCCCGATTCTAATTTGTATGAAGAATCGGCCGATACCGAATCGGACTAATGTGCGCACTTTCAGACATCTCCATACTGATCAACAGCCCGACCCAACTATCGGCCAACTAAAAGTCGGTGGTCTGCGCCCAGGATAAGGGTCCTATATTCGAGTTAGCGCCACAGAATAATAATAAGTACTACGTACAGAAGTTTTACTTCGCAAAGTTATTAAAAAAAAAAATGCTCAATGTCATTAACAATATGGTGTAATTTAGCCTGTCTTAAGAGTCAAGCACCATTTTGTTGACAAACGTCAGTGATCGGCACTGCGCCGAAGCTATAGGGCTGACTTCGGTAAAATGATATGACGTGAGGTGCCAAACTGCGGAAAATGGCGGAGGAAATACATGATTTAGCATGAATTATCATGAATAATAATAACTACTTATTTACCTCTCTTACTAACTGGTAACTTACATGACTAGTAATAAAATAACTGTACTGGACGCCCTCTGCCCCATCTAGGGGACATAGGGCCATAAGACAAGTAAATTATTTACCTCTCAGTGTCTTGAGGCAACTTAAAAAAGTACATTCTGTGTTTTTATTATTATTTAGGCAGTTAAATACTGCACAGTATCTATCTAGTACACCATTTTCTTTATTTTCTTCCATCATACACAAGAATACGCGTGCGTGTGTCAATGTTCGCTCGTATGTGTGGCCTTGTCGAATAGTATCCTGTAGGTGGGCCATCGTGCGTGTTTTGTTTTCGATGTAAACTCGCGGAGATGAACAGGCCTGTTAGCGCCATCTAGCGACGCAATCCAATACTGTTAACCTTTGTTGTTTGCCGGCAGGTGGCGGGGCGCGACCCCGGCTACGGGTTCACAGCACTGGCGCTGACGCAGTGCGCCGCCACCATCCTGCGCGAGCGAGACAGCATGCCCAAGGAGTGAGTACTCTTCTTACCTATTAATTAACTGCCCCGGGGGATAGCAAACTGTATTCATGAGGTCAAATTTCATTGGCAAAGATAAATAAGTATAGCCTGACCAGGAACATAAAAACCCTCGCCATGTTGCGGTACTAATTTAACCAGGTTACCTATTAGATATAATTATTTTTCGTTAATTTATGAAAATATCTAATTAGCCCGTAATCCTGAATCCTGATTCATAAAGTTAGCCTTTTAATTTAACACAGGTACGACTGTACTCAGTGTTGCACTAACAAATAATGCAATTGACGCGCCTCTATGCCAGGGTTTTTATGTTCCTGGTCGGGCTATAAGTATACTTTTTTATTGAAAACATAAAAGTAAACAAAAAACTTCAACAAAACAATCTTAAACAACAAAAAATTACGCTTTAAGACCCGTGATTCTCTATTTTAATTAAACAATAAAACATTAAAATAGAAAGAAATAATGCAAAACTGGAAACACGCCCAAACTAGAGGGCGCCTCCATGACTTTTTCCAATTACAATGCAACCAAATCTTAATTTACAGGTAATTTAAAATTAATTATGTTTTTAAGACCACAATGAAATGTCGTTTTAAAAAGTTGTGATTTCGAATTATTGGGGAGTGGTGTTAACTCGTCTATTGGGTCCCGTCCTATGATTCCAGCCAGTATTCAGCTTAATCTTTAGTCTATCTTATTTCTTTAAATAGATTACCATTTTAAAATAAAATGTCAATTTTAAAATTAAGTCTTTTATTAAAATCCCAAATATTTTTAATCTTAATAAATTGATGCTTATTCCAGGGGTGGAGTGATGACCACCGGGGTGGCATTCCAGAGGACTAATCTCATCAAAAATATTCAGGATAGCAACTTTGAAGTCAAATTCGAGATCGTCGAACCCAAATAAATAAATAAGAAACAATTTAAATACGAGTACCTAGACTATGCATTCCAACGGTAAACTAAACTTTATTTCTCTAACGTTTTCTAGTCTGCGATGTTTAAATAATAAAATTAAATAAAGCTTATTCAAATTAATAAAAACGCGCACAATTCTGAGTAAAATAAAAACTATTCCATAACCTAAGCATTTATTTATGTTAAGTATTATGTTTTTTTTATTACTCGTACTTAGAACTCGTTGAATTGTTATGTGTATTATTGGGTAGCGCATTTTCTTACATAACTTTTCAATTCCTATCATTGGAGGTCTGAAAATATTTCTCATACAATTTGATACCACAATGATCATTCTTCATAAAAAAATTAAAACCTACATAATATTTAAAAACATAATCATTGATATTCATAATATCACTAATCATACGCTTAGTTTTTACTAATATTTGTTTTCATATATTTTTCCATACTAATTACTAATGATCGAAACTCATAATCATTCGAATAAATAACTATAATATTCATAAATGTGACGTATCCTTTTATTTGTTTTCATAAATTTATTACTCGTAAGTGTATTTATCCATATTATTGAAAATCATGATGTCTATATTCGTATTAAATTGTATTTTAACATTAAATTAATTTGAAATGGTCCAAAACAGGCAATATTTTGTGCAACAAAACTAACGTGACAAAAACGAATCTCTGCAAAACCGACTCCACGTAGTCTTGTCTGCCTTACCCCTAGAGTGTAATTTAAAAGCCGGAGACGAGGAGATACCAATGCATGCTGCATGCTTGCTTTCATGCTGCATGCTCTGCATGCTTATCTACTTTATTAAATTATATATGTGTTTTTTTAAAGCTACGAGTATGTCTGTTATAAAGTAAATTATTCTGAACAACAACATTATGAGTTGAAGTATGTTCTTAGTAACAACATTATTAATTAAAACAATGTAATAATGAATGTTATGAAGAAAAAAGATCTGAAAATAAAAATTATGTATTTTAAATGGTTCTTGGCAGTAACAGTATTGATAAAAAAATATGATTACTAACTGATATGAGCTCCGTTGGTAGTAATAAAAATGTATGAATAAAAAAAGTGTGAAAAATAAAATTATGAAGAGAGATTATTATGAACACAAATCGGTAGTAAGACAAAGAATAGGATTTAGAATTTTATGTGAGCCAATATAGAACCGTATTATTATACTGTTATTTTTATTTATTTTAACTGTCTCAATATGTACTTCGTTATCACTCATATCTTAGTTTAAAAATGTTAATCGCATTTAGAATATTAATTTTACTAAAATATAAATATTATGTATTATGAATTTGATCACGGGACAAGAAACTCTACATAGCAGCTATGTCATAACATACATCCCTTTTCCACTATATCAAAAGCCATTTTTTATTTAGGCTGAAGCCAAACGAGCGTAATTTACGACGCGTTTTTGAGTCTACACAAAAATTCTGTATGATCTTCACAAGGACGCAAAATGTCTTGGAACTTGAGCGTTTATTACGCTACGGAAATTACGCTCGTTTGGCGTCAGCCTTAAATGCCTGGTTATCCGATAAACAATAATATGAACTGATTAAGTTTTGACAAAGTACTGACAAAGTTTGCGTTTCGTGTCCCGTGGTAGATTCGTCCAAGACGCCAAGCGGACTTGGTGATCATTGAATGGTGCTGATATTGTAGATAAACTTGAACTTTTAATTCGACTCGGAACTTGACAGTAGCACTGTCAAAAACCATGACACATAGTGGTAAAAATATTGTTAGTTTCTTGTTTAGTACCTACTACTGATTCGAATTAAAAACTCAAGTTTGGGTATGCAGAAACGTAATTATAGTTGATAATAATAAAATATTTACATACTGCACTAATAAATAAATAATGCATATTTATTTAGATATGTATGTATCTCTTAGTTTTTATTTTGTATATCGAATAAACATATATTTCAACATTTGATTTTATTAATACCTACTTGCTTGTAGAAGGAAAAGTAAAACTTCGTATTGAAAATAGATTAATTAATTTATTGATAAAGTATTAGGTACTATCTTACCGATAGGAAATGTACACACAAACCAACCTAGCACGCATTATATACATTAAGATTTAGTGCAAGCGCTGTACATAGGTAATTACATTGCTGTACCTTCGAAATAAATTAGAAAAATGAGCTTTGGTCTAAAAATAAAGTTTGTTATAAAATAAATATAAAAAATATATCAAAGTCCTAAAACTAATGCTAGAGTTACACCATCGTGTAAACATCGGTAATGTACAGTTGATTGTGGGAAGAAGCGATATCATTTAACATCTTAAAGTTCGTGATCACTAATATTATTGAATTAATTAAATCTGGATATCTACCTTTGTAGTTTATTAGCACATAAATAAAATAGGTATAGAATGAAACGATGTAACATCTGATAACGACGCACTTATTTATTTCACATTTTCCTCATACATTTACAAAAATTTATAATAGGTACAACGCGAGGGTTAAGAAACACGCTTATTTTAAATTTCTAACCGACTATGATGACAAGTTTCGGCTGTAGTTAGAGTAATTTAGACTTAGTCATACACATCACTTACATTATAAATATACATTATAAAACGTACATAAATACATATAGTTCAACATTATAGGTAATGCATCAGGATATGGTAGAAATCCAGACCAAATTAAAACTAAATAACATCTACACTATGCCCAGAATGTTATTCTAAGTTCTATCTTAAAATCTATATACAATTACATCGACATGATACCGTGCTGATAAGCCAATCTCGATGGTAGTCCAGGCCAAGATTGCGAGTCGAGTGCCGGTTATCTTGTCGACCGATAGCTTACGAAACTTGTAAGTGTATCATAATGTTCAATGGGTTTATTGGATGTGATTTTTGAAGGCATTTCGCTCATTCATTTCTTGTAGATAACGGTCTTTTCCACTCCAAAAAATATGGATGTTTTTATAAATATGTTCAATGGCGATATCTCGAAAACTGCACAGGTTTTGAAGATTTTGACATTAATTTGATGTTCTTATTCATACGACCAAAAACTTGGCCAGCCAGAAATGGTTTAAAAATCATTGCAGACGATTAGGACAATGACTATAATTTATTGTAATATACAATAGTCTATAAAATTGTAGTATAGTCCAATTGTTATTTCGGGATGTTTTAAGTGTGACTACTTTGCCAAAAAATCTGTACTGATAAAAATGTTATTTTTAGTAAGAAACATGATTTTGAATTGAAAAAGCTATCACTCCATTCCGTTCCCAAATCATGTCACTTAGCATTATTTATACTGATTTTGTAGATTTTAGAAGCTAGCTCTAAATGAATGACTGAAGAACTTAAACAGCGTATCTAATCTCAAACGTCGATGTAGCAATGCTAGAGCATGTCCTAATTTAGGTTCGGAGATACACAGCGCAGTTTTGTAATGGATCACTTGCAGGCACGTGTATTTAGTATAGTATCAAGGCCTAGCTATTATAATACTTGACGATTACCACGATGATTTTGAGGCGTACAGTCAGCATCAAATAGTACGTGATACCAAGTGGCCAAAAAATTTACAACATCATTCCAATTGTCACAAAGACGTGTCGCGAATTTTTTGGCTAGTTTGGGTGTCCACGAACTGTGCTTGTTCGTTGAAAGTTAAATCAGAACACAATATTTTTAGACAGGTCATTCATCCTTTAACAAAAACCTCGTGTAAAGAAATAACTGTCTAACAAGGCTCTAAATGTCACGGCTTTAATTTCAAACGACTCTTTTCCTGCAAGTGATCTTAAACCAACAATGTGTCTCCGTGATTTCGTACATAATAATTTATTTATACAAAAGTCAAATGAGCGGGTCACTAAATAGTCTTTGTACTGTTCACACTGCACTGTGCACGGTTTAGCTGGACTCCCGGCTGTTCTCGTTGGAGCCGACAGCTTGCGAGGGAGAGGGGGTCACCTCGGGAGCTACAATGAGCCCCTCTTTGATCCTCTTCTTTTGCTTCATCCGTCGGTTCTGGAACCAGATTTTGACTTGTGTTTCGTTGAGTTGGAGAGCGGAGGCGATCTCTATCCTCCTCGCTCGGGTGAGGTATTTGTTGAAGTGGAACTCTTTCTCGAGTTCCGTGAGCTGTTTGTTGGTGAAGTTGGTGCGGCCGGTGTTATTGAGGTTTAGGAGTGGGCTGGCCAGCATGGGTCCACCGGTGGGAGTGCGCAGGCCCTCCTGTGGGCTGCCGAGGACGCCCTGGTTCACGAACTCCGCCGGCGGGATCATCAGCTTTGGTGCTGGAAACGGAAAAGCAGATGTAAGTGTAACTGGTGGAATAGGGGTTTAATGGAAAGACAGGCAAGACTGGGAGGAATAAATACAGTGAGAGAAAGATTATAGGAGTTCGTTATTTTACTGGACATGAATAAAATTGTGTTCCAAGCTACAGTTACAATGATCCTGGACTCTTAATAGACCATAAAGGCCTAATATTTTATTGTCATTCTTTGGATATCTATGGATTTACTAACATAGGTAGCGCTGACTTCGTAAAACGCATGTTTGACGTCAAGTTTTTTTTGAACTATTGTGCCAAGTGTAATAAAAAAGTACACTTGCTCGATCGCTATTCACTTGTCCGTCAAGCGAACACCGTGTGTTTACAGAAACGTCTCATTGCGGGGATTAGCTTCACAACAGCCGTGGGAGCAGGCTCCGTTTATGACAGGTGTCAATTTTTTCTAATTTGAAGGTACAAGATAAAAGATATTTCAATATTGGCCTAAGGAGGCGCCCCGCTGCGCCCGAGTGGCGCGCGTCTGCGTGAGGCTTGGACGTTTATTGTTGTGCTCGGTTATTATCTAATTGTTTGTTTGGTGGATAACTAAGATTTTTGTGCGCATTCCAAATATTGGACGAGGCTTACGGCTAATGTCAAATATGTGTTCGGCGGTTGTGTAGTCGGCAAATAGCTCGGAAATGAGGTTTACGTTTGCGGGAGTTCCAGCCAGGCTATTTAACTACCTTATTCTACTGACCTGTCTTTACATTGCTTGATTTTAAAGAAGCATAATATTTCTAGGGGCAACGCTTTTATGAACCCTTTCTATCCTCTTGATTAACCCACTCCGTGACCACTCAAAAAAGGTGCTAAAATAGTCAAAGGACTGTTTCAGTAATTAAGTAATAAGGGAGTTAGCAAAAGTGATTCGTTCTGATGATTTCTTTCGCTGACGTTCCTAAATATTGCAAACATTCAAATCAACATTTCGAACAAACACTTCGAGAGACTAATAAACCAATATCGTTGTAATTGAGCCAACAACATACTGTTACATCCACAACAACTGTTAATGACAAGTCGGAATCTAAAACAAATAATCTCGTGACTTGTTTCCCCGCCCCTACAGATGTATCGTATCCCCAACCCTTCCGTGCTGGGGTGGGTCTAATATCGACACGTTGGCTTTTAATCTGATTAATTAATTTGTGACTGTCAGCATGTCCGCACTGTTATTAACATTCGTTGGGTTTTCAAAGCTTTGTTAAGTCAATAAAAGTGATCACCTTTATTAGATGACGAGGCTTTTTTGGGAATCACAGGGAAGAAAACGAATTACTATGTATGTATTGCACAGTAAAATCTATAATAGAATTTGAATGTGGTTTTTATTCAACTTTTAATCGCCGATCGTCCTCCAGTCTCAATTTACTCTTAGTTCTCTTTTTTAAACTTATGACTATTGGTTTATTTTTCAATAGTCTAATCAAATATTTTTTGTGTTTCAGCCAATATTAAATCCGTGGTCAGCCTCCCCTAGGCATGCGGGCGTGTTTGCGCCCGCTGTTTGCGTAATCTCCACTCCGGCTAACCCGTTGCGAGCCAGATGGGTGACCGTTTCCATTGCCTTCTCTTTAGCTCAACTCTCGACTCGGCAATGAGGGTTTTCGCGAATGAAAGATCCGCTAGATGGCGGGACGTGGATGTGGGGTCTGACTGCTGCGTGATTGGTGGATTTTGACACATCTGTCAATGTCACGTCAAAAATAACCAATCATGCAGCATTTGGACCTCGCGTCTACGTATTGCCATCTGGCGGATTTTTCATTCGCGAAAACCCTCATTGGCCGGTATTGCAACAGAATCGTCTAAAGCGAACAGCTGATGGAAAACTTCAATTAATTTTTCTTCATGCCCAATGCAATGCTCAGAATAAAGGAAACAAAGCATTTTGCATTCCTTGCTTTATTAAATGTATGTGAAACTATTGCTTGAAGGTAACATTTACTTTGCACAGACGACGATCTAATCACTGGAAGTATTAATTGCTATTTTTGCGTTTAGGCGTCGACGATAAGATGTTTAGAAAAATCGTAACGTGTTAGATAATGGAAACAGAGTGTCACCATGTGATGAGTGCCGCGCGTTCGCAGCCGCCTGCGACAATATTGACAGAGGCTGTGACGCAAAACTAAAGGCAACCACGACTTACTCTACGACGGTTCCCATAGTCGGGACAGAAAGTATTGGTCACTTGGACTGTCATCCAACCTAGTTTTTGTTTCAGTAGACGAAGACTTTTGGTTTTTACATCAAGACCAATTACAAGTCTGACTGTGGTTTTTGGAACTGATTTCGTCCCTTATGTACGAAAATAGAAACAACAAGCGTTTTAAACATTCATGGTCACTAACATTAAACTAACATTCGGAGGGTCGTAAATAAAAAGGAACATGGTAGAAATCCCGCAAATAATAGTAAACTATCCAATATTCCGTCTAGCACCAGAAGAAGTCGAATCATATTCAACTGGTAATACACAAATTGATGATATCATAACATAAACCAATTTTAAAATATATTTCGTTCGTTTCAGCCAAATGACGTCCACTGCTGGACAAAGGCCTCTCCCAAGGATTTCCACAACGATCAGTCCTGCGCTGCCCGCATCCAGGTACTTAATGAAATAAAAAATTTAAGGCAAAAACAGAACTTAAGGAAATAAATTACGTTGAAATTGCGTGAAACATTTATTATCACTCTTATCCGATGAACTGTCGTTTATGTTTTCAATTTTCAAACCAACGACCAATCTATTGCGATGGCACTACGCGGCTAATCGTCAAAGGCCGTGTTTGATGTTTGTATGCGCGCGCGCCGGTGTCGTAACTCGAAACTGAAGGAGGCCGGTGCTACACCGTCTGTCCATTACGTCCCCAATAACTAGCAATATTGGTGAAGTTGTCTACAAAATAATATAGGCATGACAATTCTTGTCATTTTTACTGAATTAATTGTTGGATTATTAGAGTTATTAGCTTACTCTGTGTGACACTACGCGGTTAAACGTCAAAGACCGTGTTTGCTGTTTGTTTGCGCGCGCGCCGGTGTCGTAACTCGAAACTGAAGGAGGCCGGTGCTACACCACTAGTCCATTACGTCCCCAATAACTGAGAATATTGGTCAAATTGGTAATAATATTGTTGTTATTGTCATTTGATTGATTTTTGGCTTGGTAGAGTTATTTGGATACTTTGTCTGTTACTTCAGCGTTCGGGAAACTACGCAACATCGTTTCGTTCAAAATACTTCAGTGCCTGAAGACGAAAGTCTACAACCAAGTGTGTGTTACCAATGACATAATTATGGTTCGGAAACGGCCTCTCACTATAGGCTATTTATTTATTTATTTATTTATTTATTTAAAATCTTTATTGCACACATAAAAAACAGTCGTACAACAGGCGAACTTAATGCCATGTGGTATTATTCTCTTCCAGCTAACCAGAAAATTAGACAAAACAGATAATTTAGGCTATAGGCCTTATACAGAAGAAATGTTGATATGCCGACAAAATACAAGTATGTTTCTAGCAATCGGTGGCTTACCGTCTAAGATGAGTAATTGCAACCGCAAAATATCGCGCGGTCAAGATCTTTAGTGGCTGCGGTTTTGAGTCAGATTACTGACGAGCGAGGGGTTAGTCTACTAGAGTCGCATCGAATTCGAAATTATTAGTAGATCCCTAGGACTAGGATCCAGTCGGCTCGGCCTCAAAGACGTGTTTGTTCTGGTGTTGAAACTTGAAACAGAAGACGGCCACTACACCGCTCGTCCATTAGCGCAAATGTTTGCGCGTGCGTGCGCTGCTTGAGCTTTACTAAATTGGGCAGTTTCATTGCGTATCATTCTAACTTTGGATTATGATCAAACAAAAGCAAACTCTATCTAATTTTCCGTTTTGAAACGTATACCTAATTGCTTGCAAGAATATTGTTTTGCGTCATCATTTAAAAAAGTCTTATTTCGTTACATTCTGTAGGCGTTCCATTGCTTATCATAATATCAAATGTTATTATGACAACTCTGTGTGGTAATATAATACATATTAAAAAAAAAATATGTATAAATAAACACGTTTTTTTTAGAATAATTGATTTGCCCATGCAAAGTCTGCTATGATAATAGCTAATTTACTGTATTTACTCTTATTTACCAGCGGACAATGCGGGTGGCAATCCATAATGTTCCGGTGCGTTTCGAATTAAGAATAATTCAATCAGTTCAATTGTTCAACAAGACTGGCCATGTACCGCCACGTCAACGCCCTTCGCTCCCGCCAGAAAAAAACATTCAATTCGATCTGACAGTTAAATGACAGCTAGGGGAGCGGGAAAGGACGCTATTGGTCCAAAATTGAACAATGCGGCAGATGCGTTCACAATTTTTTTTATTGTAAACGCACGGCCATGTTTGCTCAAATTCTTTACCGAAAAATGGGTGTTTATGTAATGAAAAAAGTTGCAGCTGATGTCTCACTTTCCTGTGACGGTTGACAGGAGATGCTCGCGTACGATATAGAGTAGGTACCTACTCATGGTAAGTTTGTAATAGAAGGAAGGGGCTACACCGATCATGGTTCTGATACGGCCGCGAGGATGGGTATGATGTATCGTTTTCCCGTTTCGTAAAATTATCGGAATCATGAATTAATTTTATGCTCGAGTTCAGTTACGAATCGCGTTCACTTTTTCGTGACTGGGAAACGTTTTCTAATTGTAAATTATTTACTCATACTTTGTTGTATTTGCGTCGTTACAGTCTTATGTGTGCAGCGATGTTATTATTACTCGCCTACTAGATTTTCTAAACTAATCTTAATTAACCAGATAGTAGAAAAAACTACTACGTAATACCGATATTATCCACATACAACACAATTTCCCGCAAGTAAAATGGAAATTTTTAATTCATACATATTTATAAAATGAGTCGCGAGCTTTGTGTTTTCCAAA